GAGAGACTAGTTTGCATAGAAACGGACGGACAGACGGACAGACGGACATGGCTAGATCGACTCGTCTAGTGATGCTGATCAAGAATATATATACTTTATGGGGTCGTCTCCTTCACTGCGTTTCAAACTTCTGACTGAAATCATAATACCCTCTGCAAGGGTATAAAAATCCACCATAAATCCATTTTCCATGGATTTGGGCCATACTCGGCTTGTTTTATTCGGTGGGATGTAAACTTTAAGTTTGTACCCATTATGATTTTTCAATGGATTTATTTCGAGGTTTTACGATACATACAGCCGACTTACAGTGCACCAAAAAACACATTTTTCATCTTTGTCGAGCTGCTGCGCTGTCATTACTTATCCAATCATATTGTATGGCAAAGTTAAGCTGTGATCTATTGACTTTAAAATGAAACAAAAACTGGTCCCATTAGGTGGATATTTGCCGAGATATAACAAGAAATTCGAAAAAAGTCCGATATTTAACATTTTAAACTTAAAAAAATCTTTAAAAAAAACTGTGCCATCGAAAAAAAAATTTGTCGTATTTTCGTGATTTGGGGGTCCAACACTAACAGAATTTGCCATCAATTGCTTTGGAGCTTTCCAAGAATATTATTTTGTAAACTAGTGTTATGCACATATGTTTATCTTATAATTTTACCAATACTATAGCTGCCATAAAAATCGGTGGATTTTCTTATTGTTTAAAAGGGTTTGAAAAATTAAAAGTACCTATCGAAATGTTGAAGAAAATTTTAAAATCGGATAATCCATTTAGAAGTTATGAGCAAAAAATGAAATAGCTGTTGATGGAGCCAGTAGCCTTGACGACTGCATATCTCCATTTTCCTCGCACTCCCTTTAGCTGAGTAACGGGTATTTGATAAATTAGCTCACATAAATTTTCGGATCGGGTAGCTCAGCTCCAACATTTTTACGACGAGCTGTTTGACTTGAACAAAAAAGCAGTAATAATAATTTTAAGTTATCCAAACAGATTTCTAAATAATAAATATTATAAATCCAAACAGAAATATACTACACACAAAAAAAATTGCTTGGTAAAATTGACCAACAAAGATAGTTACGTAACTACTAAAATAGTTACGTGTATTTTGTTTTTGCTTTGGGTATGTGTCTTTGCTAATTGTGTGTATTTTGTTGTTGTGAAATGACTATTTTGCTGGTTGGGGCCTGTTTGACAATTACACCAGCTTACAAAAAAAAATCGATGAAATATACCATGAATGAAACCTTTGTTTTCCGGTAAAGCACGTTTTCCTGATTCAGAAAATGGCACTTAAAATTTTTTTATGGATAAAATTTTTTTTTAAGACTAAAAAACGTTTTTGACATTTTTTTAATTTCTAACTTAAGGTGTTAACCGAGTTTAACCATAATTAACTCATTTTACAGGTAATAGAATGCCCTCCAATTTTTTCTATACCCTGCATTGAGTTCCATTCATTAGTTTAGGAGCTACACTTCGTAAAAGTTGTAAAAGTGAGAAAAAATGCAAAAATGCTGGCATAAATGGCATCGTTTAAAATATACGCCTAAAAACCGAAATTAGTTTTATGACTTATATTTAAAGATACATCTTTAAGTCAACTGACAAGACCATCAACAAAAAAATCAATCAATATTTCGATTTTATATCGATTTTTTACGTTGGGAAAAACGGGTATTACAGCCCTGTTAGGGCCCTGTTGTGTCAGTTAACAGCTGTAAACGGCCAAAAAAACACCGTTGCACAGTGGCGCCTTGGGCCAAAAAACGTGCAATAAATCACTTTTTCGACTTTGTCCTAGAAAGTTGTGACCCATACCAATCGACAGGTAATTGATCCACTATTACAAATATGTAACCCTTTTTCAAATCAAAATTTTTGTAAAAGATATGAATTTTCAAAGTTGAACAATTTTTCACTTAAAAAAAACACACCGTTTTTAGGTAATTTTTCGCACTTCCGGGGGGTTTTTCTTAAAAACTAGGTATCGAATCGCTTTGCTTCTTTTTTCCACGGATTGGTGTGTTAGTTAAGAGTAAAAAAAGTAAAACATATTGCAGTTTGCCATGCGCATCTCTTAGTTATGAGTTATTTGCGAAACGTCCATTTTTTCCATATTTTTCAACTTTGATGGAAAAAAAAAAAAAACTATTTAATACTATTTTTTTTATACTTCCGTAAAACGTTATTTGGACTTTCTTCTTGATATTACGAAAGTTGTAGCTGCGTCCGCCTGCGTCCGCGGTTTTAAGAGCCAAAAAAGGGAAAAAAAGTCATGGTCCCAGAAATTGCATATGGCGCAACCTTGTGAAAGATTTGTCCAAAACATGGTTTTAAAGTCCTGAAAATTTTATATGATGTTCAACAGCTCGATATAAGAAATTTTAGTTCTACCACTTTCGGAAAAACTCGCTAGTTTAGCGGGAAAACAGCTATAAATAGCTAAAATACGGAAGGCCGTAACTTCTAAACTACAGAAGCAACAGACTTGTGCTGTATCTCGTTTGAAAGGTTTTTAAAAAAGCTTTAAGCGCCTCCTAAATGTAGTTTGTGTAAATGTAATATTGAAAAAAATATGCACAAAACAATTTTTTTTTAAATTTTTTTGTTTAGTTTTTTTTATTTTTCTCGAAAACAGCTCTAACGATTTTCTTTAAAACTTTAAACTGTATAGCCCTTGAGATTCCTTAAATTTTGGTATATATCATGTTACTGTAAAAAATCACGTTTAAATGTTATTCAGAAACGAAAATAGCCACTTTTGCCAGCTCAAAACAACTTACGCTGCCTAAGCATTGAATTTAGTATGTGCGAATCCAAACTGTATTCTAGGGTCATGGAATCACAACCTTGTCACAGAGTTAGAATCTTGTAATTATAGTCCAGAAATGTTAAGTCTATTGGATTTACCAAGTTTACCAAATTGTGACCATTATTTCAAAAAACATGAAATATAAAAATTTTTATTTTTAAAAAAAAACTTTAATTTTTTTTTTTTGTTTTTTTAGTTTTTAAAAATTAAAACATAAAAAAATAAACTAAACAAAACGTAATTTTTAAAAAAAAAAAAAAAATTTTTTTTTAAAATTCCAATTTTTTATTTATTTTTTTTTAATAAGTTTTAAAAATTACAACATGAAAAAAGAAACTAAAAAAAACAAAAACTTTTTAAAAAAAGTTTTTTTTTGTCGGAAAAAAATGGATTTGTTTTTAAATTCTGACTTTGCCGATTTGTAAGTACGCCTCTGCCACGCCCACTCCCTGTCTCAAGCAATAATTTGAAAGGTGGATCAATTATCTATCATTTGCCGTTTACAAAATTCAATTATCTTCACTGGTTCAAAAGTTATGATTTATTACCAAAAAAAAGTCAAAAGGCGCCACTGTGCGTTGTCGCAAGGTTCAAAAATGCATATCAATGCAATGCTGGTGAATTGTAATGATCAATAGCTTGTTTTTTTTGTCAAAGCACCTTCTACCAGTAGAAGTTATAAAAATAATTTCGGTTTTTAGGCGTGTATTTTTAACGAAGCCATTTATGCCAGCATTTTTGCATTTTTTCTAACTTCTTTAACTTTGACGAAATGTAGCTTCTAAACTAATGAATAGAACTCTATGCAGTGTATAAGAAAGTTGGAGGGCATTCTATTAGCTGTAAAATATGTCATTTATGGATGAAATCGGTTAACCACAACTCAAGTTAAAAATTAAAGAAATGTCAAAAACGTTTTTTACACTTAAAAAAAAATTTTATCCATACAAAAAATTTTAAGTGCCATTTTCTTAAACAGGAAGAGGTACCTTACTGGAAAACAAAGGTTTTATTCATGGTATATTTCATCGATTTTTTTTGTAAACTGGTGTTATTACAGTTGATTTTACCAAGTTTTTTTTTGGTGTGTACGCAAACAAAAAAATGTTATACATCCATCCCCCTCGCACTCCCTTTAGCCGAGTGACGGGTATTAGATAGTCGGGACAACAACCCGACTATAGCGTTCTCTCTTGTTAATAAGAATTTTTTATACCCGTTACTCGAAGAGTAAAAGGGTATATTGTATTCGTGCAAAAGTATGTAACAGGAAGAAGGAAGCGTTTCCATAGGGTCTTGGTCATGGCTAGATGGACTCGGATATTGATGCTGATCAAAATTATATATACTTTATGTGGTCGGAAACGTCTCCTTCATTGCGTTGCAAACATCTGACTGAAATTATAATACCATCTGCAAGGGTATAAAATGTGACAAAACTAACCTTAGTAATATCTATTCTAGCTAAAGAAGTAGAGGTCGCCCAACTTGGTGATTGGAAACTGTTGAAGTTAAAGGTTCAAAGTACGATTTCCGCTAAATTTTGACTCTGGGTTACGAAGAGTTTAGTTTTTATTAAACCATAAAAAGTGCCTTTAAATAGAACATTTGGAACTTTGACCACGGTGTCGATGGAAAGTTTCAAAGTATGAGGTAGTAATCTAAAACTTAAAACCTTTCAGGTTTTGCAGCGTTTAGTCTTTTTGTCGATCTGTGTAATTCTTTAAATAAAAAAATAAAAATCAGTCTTTCTACGGTGCGGGTTGATTTTTTAATTATTAATCGAAATTTTAAAAGCAAATATACCCAAAGTGCACAGAGCAATTGGATTTATCTCAAAACCACGTTTAAAAAGTCCGTGTTCATTGTTGTAATATTTTGTAGCTTAAATTATTGTTTAAGCGAATGACGGAGCTTATCATTAAATTAAATTAAATTATTAAATTAAGAAACAAATCAAAACGCGTTTTTTTTTTTAATTTTTAACTAAAGTACTAAGTATTACATTGGGCTTCAACTTTCTTATACACAATATAGAGTTCAGTTTTTTATTCGCTTTAAATTTACAGTTGAGTGATAACTTCACCGGTTTTCTTCACTGTACATACACTAAATTTTATATGACTACCGAATTACGTGTTGGATTATATTATTAACATCTTGACTTACCACTCCAAGGAGATGTGTAACCGAAGTCAGTAGATCCCTGAGAAAGAACGTTGAATTTCTGCTTCAGTTGATTGGCAAGCTCTCGCACCTCATTGAAGTGCCCGGACGCCCAAGCTGTGAGGTGTGGCACTATCTTTGAGGGCTGTTCATTTCCGTAAGAACTCAACGACACTTCGCCTTGACAGATAGTCACCGCCAAAAGCAAGGTGAGCCCTCCCAGAGCCCTCATCCTGATAAGCTGCAAAAAAAAAAACAAATTACATCAAACAATTTCAATAAGGGCTTTCGCAGAAATTCCAAATTATATTTTTAAGCCTAAGCACAAGTATTTTCGGCGCTGATAACGAGAGGATGTCGAATCTAGTTCAGACCGTAAGAAAAAGATTATCGCAACAGCTCCGGACTGTGGGTCGCCAAAGGTTAATCAGGCGATAGTAAGCGCTCTACCCGGGATCAGCTCATGAAAAATTACTTTTATTTGAAGATCACTAGTCACTTAGAGTTTTATTCTTTCTTTTTTTGACAAAAATTAAACTTATGAGGCCCCGATTCCCTTTTCATCCGGTTCATGTTGATAAGTCGGACAAACTTCAATGCCCCTTCAAAACGAATTCTCAAATGGGTCACCCATGTTTTTCTCAATTTAGTATTATTTATTTCTGGAATCATTTTTGGGGCGACTGCAGCAGTCTCTAGTTATTTTTAAATATTTTTCCAAGTTTTTTTTCTTTTATTCTATTATTAACTTATAGATAATAACTAGAAATAACGTACTGATATACAGAATTACACTGCTATTCACTTTGAAGAGGAATCTTTATTACCCGAATAAGTATTATTGTCAGTTAACTTGGAATGGATTTGACTCAGGACACTTTACTCAAGGCACCCTATCTTTTGATTCGAGAGAAAACCGTTGCGACTTGACGCGCGTTCTGAGAGCAACTGACAGCTGAGAATCCAGCACGAAGTTTTTATGAAAAGATCGCTTGCGGCTAGAGGCTACAACATACAGAGAAATCTCTGTGTCACTCACAAGAGCCAGATTAGCATTGGAAGTGGGAGACTGAGTTGAATATCACTTGGTAAATAAAACCTATAGTTTTGAACTATGTGATCGCTATCATATTTAAAATTTGAGAATTCGATTTTGAAAGTTTCGAAATAAATGGTAAACAAATGACAAGTGATTCGGCTTGCGAATCTGTTCTCCGATTTCGTTTTGATTAAGCTTAGCTCAATCGATCAATCAAAACTGTCAAAATTAAGTGACCTTCAACCGAGTCAAATTAAAATCCAAATTGGTAATCATCGGATTTTAGGTAAAACATATTTTTAAAGAGCAGTCCAAATTTTTGTTGGATTGCATACAAATTTGTTTCATGTGACGTAGATTATTTTGAACGCAGCATATTTATACCCGTTACTCGTAGAGTAAAAGGGTATATAGTATTCGTGCAAAAGTATGTAACAGCTAGAAGGAAGCGTTTCCGACCCTATAAACTATATATATTCTTGATCAGGATCACTAGCCGAGTCGATCTAGTCATGTCCGTCTGTCCGTCTGTCCGTCTGTCCGTCTGTCTGTCTGTATGAACGCTGAGATCTCGGAAACTATAAAAGCTAGATTGACATTTTACATGCAGATTCTAGGAGTTCCTACGCAGCGCAAGTTTGTTTCAAAAGGGTGCCACGCCCCCTCTAACGCCCACAATCGCTTATATACGATTTTAAAAATTTCAATATTTTGGAAAAGTAAAAATGCAGTTTTATTGTATTTATCAATACCTATCGAAATGAAGAAGAAATTTTTTAAATCGGACCATTCGTTAAAAAGTTACGGCGGATCACAGTTTTTATCTCCATCTCCTTCGTAGAGCTGGCAAACTATCGATGGAACTATCTATAATATCGATGGTTAGCAGCCAGCTTGCTCCATCGATGTTATGAAAACTATCACGATATTATCGCCGTCATATACACACCACTACTTTTTTTGTGTTTTCGCTACAGCTAAGAGAAAAATTGTAATATTTGTATTATAATATTTACATTAAACCTTGGTTTTCTTTAGACAGTGGAAAGTGATTTGTGGTTCTACAGCGGTGCCCGTCAGGAACACCTTAAATCAGTAAGGATGTTCAAGTATATAAAAGCTTTTACTTATTTTCTTTAACAAAAATTTGTGGATTTCCGATTATAATGTTTAAATTTAAGGTTGATCTCAATTAAAGCGGCTGGACCGCTACTTTGTTTTTGGAAAAATAGATAACACAATAACAATAATTCTAAATTTATTAAAATTGCAAACTAATTTATAAAGAATGCCCTTATTATTTTAGCTTTCTAAGAAAGGAATAGCCTCTATATGACCAAATTTGTTTAATTCGATATTATCGCGATAGTATCGATGGTTTCCGAAAAAAACCTCGAAAACATCGATAGAGTCACTATCGATGTTTTGCCAGCTCTACTCCTTCGCACTCCCTTTAGCTGAGTAACGGGTATCTGATAGTCGGGGCACCCGACTATAGCGTTCTCTCTTGTTTTTTTCTAAATTCGACCTTTTTACATGTCTGTAACCTAAAGTAATATTTCGGTACATGTCAATTTTTTTGTTACTTTTTTTTTACTTTTTTTTATTGGACATATATGCTCCCATGTAACACCAGCTTACAAAAAAAATACGATGAAATATACCATAAAGGAAACCTTTGTTTTCCGGTAAGGTACGTCTTTCTGATTAAGAAAAGGGCACTTACAATTTTTTTTATGGAGCTAATTTTGTTTTAAGTGAAAACATTTTTTTAATTTCTAACTCGACAAAGACTCATTTTACAGCTAATATAATGACCTCTAACTTTCTTATACACGGCATTGAGTTCTATTCATTAGTTTAGTCAATGTTGTCATCGTTAAAAATACACGCCTAAAACACGAAATTATATTTATAACTTATACTTAAAGATACATTTTTAAGCTAACTAACAAGACCATCGAATGAAAAATCAATCAAGGGTTCGATTTTATATCGATTTTTTACGTTGAAAAAAACGGGTATTACAGCTCTGTCAGAGCCCTGTTGTGTCAGTAAACCGCTGTAGGCGCCCAAAAAATCACCGTTGTTGCAAGCTTCAAAAATGCATATCAAATTAATTTGCTAGTGGATTGTAATGCTCAATAGCTTGATTTCTTTGTCAATGTACCTTCTACCAGTAGAAGTTATAAAACTAATTTCGGTTTTTAGGCGTGAATTTTTATGGGGGGTTAGGGTCTTTGGCACCTTAAAATCGACTTACGTTGCGATTTTGTCTATAAAAACTGGTTGGATGGATTTAATTCAAACCTTTTGTATATTACACAGGAACCATTTCAAGTTTTCCATGATATTTCGGTGCTCCTGAGTAAAAGTCCCATACAAATTTATGTCCCATCACCTACAAGTTCTGCGGTATAGCTAAGAATACAAGAAACCGATGTTTTCCGACATTTTGAATTACGTGGTCTATATAATTGGACTAACCTTTATTATTTCCGCTAAAAATGATCCGATTTCCATTTTGTTTTTACATTTCGCTTAAGAATTTACAAAACCTGCCCCCTGGGAAGCCCTTTTTTAATTTTTAACACAGGTCAACAAAATGGACTTTATTAAAAGGTGCAGGCCTATTGGCATTAAAACATGTTAATATAGACGTATATAGGCATATCTGCATACTTAGTTTTCGCGTTTAACGGGTGGTATTTGGGCAATCGCGGTTTGAAAAAAATAGCAACATTTAATTTTTTGATTTAAGATATCTTCGAGGGTCTGTGCTCAGTTGTAATAATACCTATGCCAAAAAATTGCTTAGATGCCCCTCTACATTATTGCACTTAAGGTTCCATCATAATGTGAGTCAATCACAGCCTATGAGCCATTGAAGTAATTTGTTCACCTCTATTCCCAACCAACTTGATGCGGTGAACACGTTAAAAAAAATACAAGGAAAAATATGTGCCCTAAAATATTTTACATGCATCTAGAGGCGTCTTTCACCGATTTTTTAAGACAAATAAGACCATTGTACGTCGAAGGATAGAATTTACAGAATTTTTTCCGTAATAACTTAAACAGTAACAACTATTTTTAAATCCCATTTTACATAAATATCTGACACATTCGTAAAAATGTGCCTTTCAAATTGGTTAGCAGTAGGCGCCGAACATAGACAAATTATATTTTTAAGGGGTTAATATGCCTTAAAAAAAATCCCCACCACAATTTTAAGGCGACGCCACTGTTATCTTTAAAAAGCCTACTGTGTAAAATCACGACAAACTCGTTACGTAAGAGTGACTCTAAAATACTTGTTACTTTTCCCATTCTTACGGAAAAAATTCTATAAATTCCATTTTTCGAATTACAATAGTGGGATTTATCTCAAAAATTCGGGAAAAGACGCCTCTAGATGCATGTAAAATATTTTAGGGCACCTATTTTTCCTTGTATTTTTTTAAACCTGTTCACCGCATCAAGTTGGTTGTAAATAGAGGTGAACAAATTACTTCAATGGCTCATAGGCTTTTATTAACTCAAATAATGATGGAACCTTAAATGCAATTATGTAGAAGGGCATCTAAGCAATTTTTTGGCATAGGTTTTATTACAACTGAGCACAGACCCTCGAAGATATCTTAAATGAAAATATAAAATGTTGATACTTTTTTCAAACCGCGATTGCACAAATACCACCCGTTAAACTCGAAAACTAAGTATGCAGATATGCTTATATCCGTCTATATTAACACAATTTAATGCCCATAGGGCTGCACCAAAAACACTGTTGGCCTGTGATTATATGATATAAGTCAAAAATGCGTTTTCCAACTAAAAAATGTGACTTTCGGCTTAAAAAAATTTGAAGTTAAGAAATAAAAAAACGCTTCCCAGGGGGCGGGCTTTTTTTATGCAGAAAAATATGCGACAAACTTGAAAACGATCGGTTGAGCCGTTTAGAAAGGCCGATGAACACGGACTTTCGAAACGTGGTTTCGAGAAAAGCACACTTAAATATGCACTTACGTACCTAAAGTCTTAGAGGTTAGGGTACGAAATTTAACATAACTTCTAAAGTTTTTGTCCGATTTAAAAAGAATTTGTTAAAATGTTTCGCTTGTGTAAAAGCACGGTGCTATTTGTTTTGCAAAAAATATTTTTGCGACTTGAATCTATATTTAAAAAAGTAAGTGCATTCATTTGGTTTAACTAATTCCATATAATCAAAAACCATTATTACAGGGAACCGACAATGCACAATGAGATAGAGCTTGAAAATTATCGATGTCAGTATCGATATTATCGATACTTTTGATATTTTTCAAACATCGATGTTTATCAGAAACATCGATGTTTTTCTATATGTGCCAAGTAAAATTTGTATTTTCACATAAATTGGAATAATTATCTCAGTTACTCTGTGATTTTCTCTTATATAAGGAAGTGAAAGCAAAGACAAATATGGAGGAATTACCAAGTAAGTATAATGATTCTTAAGAAGGAACAAATTAAAACCCACTTAAGGGGCTGCCCATATATTACGTAATCACCTAGGGGGGGAGGGGGTCATTGAAATGATTATGTTTGATTACATGGGGAGGGGGGGTCTTGTACAATGATTACGTAATCATTTTATATTAATTTTTTTATTTAAAGAATTTATTTAAAAACTTTTTTCCTTTAAATTTATCTACAAACCAGGGACCAAAAATAAGTGTTATTGTAAATTTTTCATACAAAAAAATCACGCATTGTAGTTTACAAATCCGTAATGATTTTTATTTTTTGATTTTTATAATAAAACTCAAAAAATAACTGTTATTTTTTGATTTTTATGAATAACAGTTATTCCCTTGACATTTTTGAAAAAATGAAATAATTAAAAAAAACATGATTCCCGTGTTTTATATAACTTACTAAAAAT